AATGAACTGAAAATTTGCATATTTTCAACCTGAACCGCAATCGTAACGTGAACCTGCTATATGGCACATCTTCCACTCAACCCAAATTCAGTCACGCTCCTAGAAATAAACACAAAAAAGACGCACGCACCTCCCCTCCCCACCAGCATAGCAAGAAAACCAGAAAAAAGGCACGTGGCATCGATGTCACGCATCACCGAGAAAAACCATAATAAAATCACGGCCGGATCGCTGTGCAACTGGGTCGCTGTGCAACTGAACATGGAACGGCGGCAATTCAAATGGTTGCTGTGTGTATTATCGACGAATACGAATGTCGGTGCTTGACTACAGCCGTGGTCCATACTGCTCAGCGAGAATCCGCATTTCCTTCCTGCTTAGAGACCCCTCCCACAACTATGCGAAAACTAAGAATATAGTAGTAACACATATGCGAAAACTAGGAATATAGTCGTAACACATGCGAAAACTAGGAATATAGTCGTAACACACTGCTACTTACAGTTACCTCAGACTTTAGTTTTAGTTTTAGATCCGGACTTTTGCAGCACTGGTGGCTGAGCCGCCCGGGCGGTGGGAGGGGTGGAAGACCCACCGCCGCCCCTTAGATCCACCTATGTCTCTAACAGAGGATTTCTGCACTTAGACGTTTACTCTTTCTCAAAACCCCGCCTTCAGCTAAGTGGTGGCATAATGTGGAATCCCCTTCTTTCTTCTCCATTCCCCCTCTAGGAAAGACGGCACTTCGAAGTTTGATGCAAAAACGCATGATCGCACCGGCTCGCCTGGTGCGTTCCAGCCTGGGTTATAGGAAGGGTCTTTCGCACCACTGCTGCAAAAGTCCGGGTCTAAAGCTAAAACTAAAGTAAACTAAAGCCTTAAGTAACTCTGAACTAAAGTAACCCTAAGTAGTAGTGTATTACAACTCTGTTCCTACTTCTTGCATAATTCCAAGGTAGGATGGAGCTTCCCCCAATCTCCGTCGCCCCCTCCTCCCCTCCCTCTCCCCCTTAACGGCCCAACCTGGATCCTCCATAATGTTCGGTGGCAGGCTTTCGCGTCCCAACAGCCTTCAGAATCATCTCAGTGAAGAGGCACGAGGATATTATTCAAAGTTCCTGAGAATGGAGGCACACAGATCTGAGATGAGTTTTACAGAACTCAGCCGGCGAAACAGGCCTCCACTGTTCTGACTGTTAAGGTTTCAGGGTAATCGGACAAATTTACACTCCTTCACCCATATCTATTTCTTCCTGTCATCCGTCTTGCAAATTAGACACATGACTATTCAAAACATGGCGGGTAGGAGGCTGTACTAATGAATCCCACTCCTACCCGCATGCACTATTTGATCTGTGTATACAGCTAAGAAATGAAACACAGACTGCGCCATAAAATATCCTCATACACATGTCATTCAAGTGAAATCCTTCTATTCTTCTATTACACACAGAAATATAAATCATAATTACAATTACAAAAGAAATAGGAAGGGAAGAAGGGGCCATGGAGGTCGAAGTTATAAAAAAAAGAAAATTTTGGCGCCACAGAAAACTTTGAAAAGTAAATAAACTTGGAAAGAAGTGTTCCGGTCCATGGAGTGACAGAGAGACCACTGCTCTGTAGTGCACCACACAAAAAAAGTGCAAGCAGCACATTCGGTAGTGATACTGTCCGCGAGAAAGTAAACGACCACTCGGGCAGGCCCGTAAAAACGCACTGAATAAATGGTGCGTGCCAAATGGAAGGTATACAGCTCAGGATCGAAATGGCCTCTTGGAAGAAGCGCGCAAATTGCACGTCTTCAAACAGTGGCGGCAGCAGCAATAAATTTTATCCATGTAATTTGGTGGAGAGAGGGCAATGGAGCGTAAAAAGAACCTCTACTCGGGAACGAGAATAGGTAGAAAGCTGAAATTTTGAGGTTATGTTCCCCGCCTACACATAACTCAAAGAATTCAGCCCTACTGCGACTCCATTACCAGTTGTGTACAGCAAGGGGACAACGAGGGGCAGAGGGCTGGAAGGAGGGAGAGGGAAAGGGGGG